TGTAGCAATATCTACTTGTAGAGATTTAACTACTTTGTAAATAACTTTTTTTATGATTCTGCTGCTAGTAATATGAGAAACAGTTTACCAATGTGAATGTGTGGGTTTCATAAAAATGTTAAATAAACGTGATTTACTATAGAAAATAGACAAGTGACATGATGCTTAGAAACTTTTTCAAGGCATCTTTGGAAATACTTTGTTTGTTTACATACTTTTCCTTTCGACTTAATTGAATGTTTCAGAAATGTTTATTTGACAGTAATGAATAAGTAAGGATCACAATTACATTTTTTGTTAGATGGGACATACATACATGAATAGCAACAGTATTTTGGTCAACTTTTACCTACTTATATATATATCTTTAAAGAAAGGTTAAAGAAATCTTGAATTAGTATTAGTATGTATACATGATCTAAAGGTTTCTGATAGGCTTCCTGTAACTCTTGTGTTTCCTTGCTTGGTTCCTCATAGTTGTCAGTCATAATTAGAATTACATATGCAAAATATAATCAATCATTACTTATTTGTCATAACAGTATTTTAGAATTGATGAAAATGAGCTGTATGTGCATTCCAATTCAATATCATTTGACGGTTTTAGGTTGTAGTTGTCTCTCAAGATCTTTAACATGTTACACGTTCACTGCTGAGGATACATGTATGTCGTAAATACAAAAATCTAAAGAGTACATGTTTTAGATTTGTTATTATTACTATTGTTTAAACTGAAAACAACGATATTGTACTAAAACTCTTATAAGAACTTGCCATAGATGAAGCCAAGTATCGCAGCAGTTATCGTGTTAATGAAGGTGGTGTAATAGAACAAAATTCATGATTCTCATATATTGATCAGTTTTTGTTTTTGACTATAATTGTTACTGATGCTAAAATTAATCAGGAAACATTTAATTTCATTAATTTTGGGGCCCATTTATTATTAGCATTAGTTGGGAATGTATGTATATGCTACATATAGTGAAGCTTTTCCTATTTTTTTAATAAAATAATTTTGTTTTTAATGAACATTTGGTTTAGTATTCTGTTCTTTAAGATATTTGAAATTTTATTAAGCAATGAAGTTTGTTGTTTTGTGAATTTGTTGATGTAATTGTAATACAGGAAATGACTGGGAAAATATACAATGTTTTAGAAATTACATTTTATTTACCTTTTCTACCTAAACAAACAATTTTTTTAACAGCTATTGTTTGTAATTCACCCAAAATAATATTATGTATTCAGCATTTAATTGTTAAACAAAAAATTTATTATAGAACAAAAACCGAGTTTTCATGGGTATGTTAAGTTTCTTGTTGGCTTGGTAAATGTATTAAAAATTAATTTTTAAGTGATCTCTTTTTTTCTTTTTAACAACATAAACCATATTTTCATGGTGATCTTGAATTAAGAGAAAATTATTTCAAAAATGGTTGAATTATTCTTTGCAAATATTCCAGTTTCGAAGCTTATTAAGATTATTTGAGGTGGAACACTAACTGTTGTTTTATATCAAGTAGATCAATTATATATTATTGTGTTATAAATATCCTTAAAGAGGACAAGTTAATTAAGTGTGGCTAAAAGTAAAAACTTATTTTAATTCTGTAAAGCTAGACTATCTTATTTTGTATGTGATTTTTTTATCACTTTTGGTCAGAGTGGTGTACTTTTAATTTCCTGACAATATATGGCCTTCAGTTACCTTGACTGTGATGGCTTTTTAGTTTTATGTCATTTTCAAAATAATTTGACCTCCTATATTTCTTAGAAATAATTGCTAATAAAAAATGAGGTGGAAATTTTCATGACATCCACCTAATTGTTATATATAGTGGTCTTCAAGGTCATGTTAGTTTGAGTTATTCAAAAACTTTGTTTTTTTGATTTTGAATTATTACATACATACAGTTAAAAGCATTGTAAAACTGTAGTTCAAAACTGTAAATTTATGAAAGATTGACTGTATTTTTATTTATAAAAAAATACTTGAGAAATTTAAATTTCAGTCATTTTAACCAGTATAATTTCCAATATTCAAGTTTGTTTTGTTTAAAAGTCATACTTTTGTTTCAGTATTGAATTATTTATAACAACTACAGTGTAAAAGTAATTTTATGTAGTGATACTTTGATTGTTCTTATACATCTGTTAAAGGGGTAAAAGGCATTAGCCCCACATTGGCTCAACAGTAATTCTGGAAGTTTATAATGCTAAAACTTGTAGTTGGATACTTGTAGTGGGCACAACATAAATAGCCTATTGTATAGCTTTGTGCTTAAACAAACAATAAAGGGCATTTTTGCAGATTCAAACATCCAAAAATAAGTCTTGGAACTTAATTTCTAATATTTAGGAAAACAGTTTTTTTTAAAGTTTGGAAAACTGTAGTTGTAATTAATTTGTTTTATTTGGCTTGTCATATGACTATCATTGTGTGAAATATTTCAGCACTATTTCTTGTTAAACATACGATAATATTGGAATTAATCAAAAAATGCCTTAACATAACCCAAGCATGATCATAGGATTTCTATGTGTGCATATTACAAACCCCCTGATTTTTTCAAGTTTATATAATCTTTGTTTCAAGCTCATGAAACTAATCAACTTCTTGGACCACAGGCAATTAAACTAATAAAAGACTTAAAAGTTTTAAATGTAAAGTTTAAAATCACACCCCATAAAAAAGATTTTGTGAATTTATCTTTTAAAAAAAAAAAAATTTTCTCAGGAGTGGATTGAAGATGTGCTTGTTTGCCAATAGATGTTTGGATTTGACTTTTATATGTTATATGGACTTTTGAGAAGAAGATTCCAATTATCATAATTAATTTGGGTTATTTAAAAAATGTTAAATTTTTAGTGTATTTTGTTGAAATGTAGCATCTAAAACTTTTAAATAGGATGGATACTTTCAAGTGTGAGGATACCTAATGAAATGTATTGCTTAATGAAAACATTGGTGAATGTTTCAAATCAGATTGCAATATATATGCCTTATTTTGGAGGTTGCCTTAATCAATTAGAGATGTAAATTGTACTATGTGAGACACAGAAGTGATGTTCTTCTGCTTAATAAATTTGTGGTGGTGTAGTTTTTCTACATCCAATAATAATGTATCTTTTGTAGAATACTAACATTTATGGGGGAAAAAAAGATGTGTTTGATTTGAATAATCGACAGTTTTGGGGGCTTCCTTGTATTTACTCAATCGTGTATATTACCAAGAAATCAATAAAATGTTTTCTGTCACAATTCTTCTGGTATTCGAAAATGAGAACTGATGATATACAGAATAACGTGAAAATATTTTCTTGCCTTTTTATATATTTCATTTCCTTTGTGCACTTTGATCATCTTGAATATTGTATTTCAAACATAACTTGTGTTATCAAGCTATGAACTTATGATAAATGGGACTATCAATTACTTGAAAGAGGAGCATATAGCATCAATAGTGCATATTAGTGTAAGTGTAAGCTATGAACTTATGATAAATGGGACTATCAATTACTTGAAAGAGGAGCATATAGCATCAATAGTGCATATTAGTGTAAGTGTACCACAAATTTTATAAACTGTGCTGTCATTGTTGTGCTCTATCAATATAATTTTGTACATGTGCCATAAGCTACCATTGCTTGGTATGCTATGTTAGAAAGTTTTCTTTATGTCGCTAGTAGTCATGCATATATTTTTTGGAATCACTATCGGCTGAGGTAGTATTTTATGATTTTATCTACTGAGAAAGCTTCTTATTACTCCTAAACATCTACATCCTAAGGTGGTAACTTTGTTTAACTGGTACTCTGTTGATTATCCAATTCCATACAGAGACAAATTTCTTGAATTTGATGTCTTAAGACATCAGCAAATTATCAACAAACAAATATGAAGATATGACACTTTCAGTTTTGATGTGAATCAAAGAAAGTTCTATTTGCAATTAATATGAGAAGGAAAGTGAACTATAATACGTTTAAAGCAGTCCAGATAAAACATTTAGAAAGTATTGTCATGGTGGATAACAGGGAATCCTCAATAGCCATGGCACTTGAAATTCTTTCAGGCATGATTAGAGTAAATTAATCTCTAAGCACCCCCCTTTTATTAGTTATATTTTTGTGCACTAGCAAAAAGCGTGGGGTGCGTGTATACCCAATTCGATTTTATTACTCCTCAGGATCTCTACAAGCCTACCCTCAATTTGAAATTCTTTCAGGCAGCATTAGAGTAAATTAATCAGTGAGACCTTAGGCGTGGTCAAATACATCAAATATAAGGGTTTGACCTCCTGAGTC